AAGGCTTGGAAGCAGAAAAGGACAGGGACTTTTGGTGGCCTGTGATTCGGGTGTGGCTCCATGGCAAAAGCAGAGGGCCAGAGTCACTCCCGGCTTTTACCAGCTGTCTGTCTCACAGAGACTTCCGTCTAAGCTGCAGCTGCCACAGCTGTACAATGGAGACCTTACCCAAATCCTACTTATTTTTTAAATGTCCAGCTCAAACCCAAACTACTCTTCTTCTGAGTAGTGTTCTCACAATATTCCCACCCTGAAGTGGAATTCCTACAGCACAGCCATTCGCTCGACCCTTCCACCAAGGCCTTGGGCAAAAACTTCTCTCACTTAGCCTCCTTCCTCACCAATGTCAGTGCTATCAGAGAGCAGGGAGATCCGGGCTGCACAGTCCTAAAAGGCAGCACTAGGGCTGACAGGGAGAAAGGATAGAGACAGAAATGTTTATACAAACATGCCAACAATCAGAACTGGAGGACGATGATAGACTTCAAAGAAAGGAAGGAACTCTGGGTCATCAAAGAATACATCAAGGTTGGATAAAAGACAAGGGAAATAAAAGTTTCTTGCACTAAGTGGGTGTACTTCCTCATACATGATCTTATACTGTCAAAAATTTTACAAATACCAAATCTGTAACCTGTTGGGGGAAGAAACAAATGGCCTTGGATCTTTTTAATACTCAATGTAGAACAACAAGGCAGACACGCAGCAAAAGAAAGAAAGAAAGGAAATGCCTTGAAAACTGGATGGAAGGCAGTCTAAGGACAAGTGATTATCAACAGGTGGATAACGGGGCTATAAGCGATGACCTCAAGCCCCGGCTATCACAAGGTGATCCACAGACCAACAGCTCTGGAGGGCGTGGATGAATGCAGCAGCTCAGCCCACTGTGACCGTGACCAGGCTGTGGCCTGTAAGAAGGTCCCCAGTGATGTGCACATACACTGAAGTCCCAGAAGCATGGCCCCAGAGCCACATTTTAGGTGATCCCCCAAGATGTTCACAGTAGGCTTGGCCACAGCCATCGTTCAGGGGTCCCCATTCCTCACCCTGATGAGTTCTCCTGGGTGTTCTGAGCATCCCTAACTCCACCTGCCCAGACTCACATTTGCCCATCAATCTCAGGCAAGAAACAAACAAAAAAAATCTTGGAATAATTAAGACTCCCTCTCAGAAAGCTCATGGAGATGAAGAAAGGTTGTCAAATGTGTCAAGGATTCTAGAGGGAAAAAAAAAATGTGTCCCTCAGTTGTGATTGCATCAGGGCAAGGACCTCAAATAGACCTTGGGGAAGGATCTCCTGGCTGTGACAGCAGTGGTAGCGGGCCGAGACCCTGTCATTAGATCCTGCAAGCACCCGCGCTGCAAACCTGCTACGGCCCAGGAGTCAGTGGGTCCCAAGGGCACCCAATTAGCAATGCTGGCACTAATGAGAGTGTTCAGAGCTTCTGCTACCGTGGTGTTTTCTTGCTATAATCTGCTGCTTCCATAAAACTCACAGCTAAAAGCCAAACAGTTCTGTATGTTTATAAGCTCTCTCTCCAGCAGACCCGGCAGCACTCTTGCTAAATTATAAAATGAGGACTAGCATGAGTAGTTGTCCTTTCTTTCTGCTCTCTGTTCCTCTCCTTCACTAAGAAACCCAATGGAAAGGACAGAGTGTCAGGCGGAAGTTTACACACTATGACATTAACTAAGCGCCTATTTCCACATCTGTAAACTCCTCACAAGATCCTGGTGATCTGCCCCACATAGACTTCTGTAGTCAGTGGCCATGAAGTTAATTCCAACTGCTGCTGGTGGTCCCATGAGCTCCAAAGTGAAACTGTGCCCCACTGTGTTTTCAATGGCTGTGGTCTTTCCAAAGTAGATCTCAGGACATGCTTCCAAGTTACCTCTGGGTAGATTAGAACCACCGACCTTTCCGTCAGCAGAACAACGCATAAGCACCACTCAGGGACCATATCCAAATCTACGTTCATTTTATACTGCAACAGAACTTGTTTCTAATTTCTCTGACACAGCTCTGATCTGTGTATTCTTCCATCTTCTTTTGATGTTTCCTTCATCATTCAATATTTTGCCCATAGAATCTTTCAATATTGCAACTTGAGGCTCGAATTTTTTCTTCAGTTCTTTCAGCTTGAGAAATGCTGAGCATGTTCTTCCCTTTTGGTTTTCTAACTCCAGATCTTAGCATATTTCATTATAAAAATTGACTCTGTCTTTTCAAGCTGCTCATTGAAATCCTCTGTTCAGCTCTTTTATCTTGTCCTTTCTTCCATTTGCTTTAGCTACTATCCATTCAAGAGCAAGTTTCAGAGTCTCTTCTGACATCCATTTTGGTCTTTTCATCTTTTCCTGTCTTTTTAATGATTTTTTTCTTCATGTATGATGTTCTTGATGTCATCCCACAATTCATCTGGTTTTCCGTCACTGGTGTTCAATGCATCAAATCCATTCTTCAGATGATCTCTAAATTCAGGTGGGATATAATCAAGGTAATATTTTTGCTCTCATGGATTTGTTTTAATTTTCTTCAGCTTCAACTTGAATTTATATATGAACAGCTGACGGTCTGTCCGACAGTCAGCTCCTGGCCTTGGTTTGGCTGAAGATACTGAGCTTCTCCATTACCTCGTTGCACAGATGTAGTCGATCTGATTCCTGTGTACTCCATCTGGCAAGGTCCACACGTATAGCAGCCATTTATATTGTTGAAAAAAGGTATCTGCAGTGAATGAGTCATTGGTCTTGAAAAATTCTCTCCTGCAATCTCTGGCATCATTTCTACCACCCAGGCCATATTTTCCAACTACTGGTGATTCTTCTTTGTTTCCAACTTTTGCATTCCAATCACCACTGATAATCAATATATCTTGATTGCATGTTTGGTCAATTTCAGGCTACAGAAGTTGGTGGAAATCTTCAACTTCCTCATCTTTGGCTTTGGTGGTTAATGCATAAATCTGAATAAATAGTAGTATTAAGGCTCTCTTGTGGGCACATGGATATCATCCTATCACTGACAGCACTGTACTTCAGGATAGATCTTGAAACATTTTTTGTGACAATGAATGCCACACCATTCCTCTTCGTCATTCCCAGCATAACAGATCATATGGTTGTCTGATTCAAAATGGCCAAAACCAAACCATTTCAGCTCACTAATGCCTAGGATATTGATCTTTATGTGTTCCATTTCATTTTTGACAACTTCCAATTTTCCTGGATTTATACTTCGTACATTCCATGTTCTGATTATTAATGGATGTTTGCAGCTGTTTCTTCCCATTTTGAATATATAACCAAACAACGGTACATACACACAATGGAATTCTATGCAATGTTAAAGAATAATGAAGAATTTGTTTTTTCATAACATGGATGAACTTGTAGGACATTATGCTGAATTAAATAAGTCAAACACAGGAGGACAAATACTGTATGAATCCATTATTATAAAAAGTCAAGGAAAGGTTTACACAGGGAAGAAAACTATCTTTGATGGGTTACCAGGGATATGACAGGAGGAGAGGGAAAACTGCTAGTTAGTTAAGAAACGTGTGCTGATGTGGGTAAAGAGAAAGGCAATATAATAAAAGCACGTGACCAGCGCAATATCACAAAGAAAAAGGAAGACACGGTGCAGAAGAAGTACAGACAATAAAGGTAAATACTATTACATACACAATACTGCATTATCAGTAATAGCAAACACTGACCCACGGATGGATACACAGTTAGACAGGCAAGATGATTAGGTATGGGTAGGCCAGTGGGAATATACCCATGGCCATACATAGGTTAGGAGCTCTGGTAGCACAGTGCCTAAGGTATCTGACTGCTAACCAGAAGGTTGGTGGTTCAAATCCAACATCCACTCTGTGGAAGCAAGACTGGGCAATCTACTTCTGTAAAGATTTACCACCTTGGAAACCCAATGGGGGTCTCTATGAGTCAGAATCGACTCAATGGCAAGGGGTTGGGTTTGGTTTTATACGTAGGTTGTTGGGCAGATGATATTCCTACATGTGTATTCGTATGTACCATAAAAATGCTCATACATAGTATTGAGTTAACAGGGGACAAAATTAGGGTAACTTCTTAGCCACACCTAGGCACCTTGAAGGAGTGAGTCACTGGGCCTGTGGACTTGGGACCATGGTCGCAGGGGACACAAGCTCACCTGACAGAACACAGTACACGAGAACACTGTTCTGTATCCTACCTGGGAGAGTAGTGACTGGGGCCTTTAAAGCTTGTGGGCAGCCATCTAAGCTGCAACTACTGATCTCTCCGCACCCAGAGCAAAGAATAGTGAAGGAAATCAAAGACACATGGAAACAATTAGTCCAAAGGACTAATGGATCGTGGGAACCTTAGTGTACACCACCATGAGACCAAAAGAACTAGAGGGTGACTGGCCTCCACTGCCAACCACTCGGAAAGGGATCAAAATTGGAGATCCTGAAAAGAGTGCAGAAAATGTGGAACTAAACTAAAAAACAAACAAACAAAGGAGTCATCAATCCAGAGACAGAAATACAGATTCTACATGACTGGCACCAGCCCACCAGTTTTCAGATACCACAGGTCACTGATGGTGAATAAAATAACAGCACATCATTGGACACCCACTTAGCACCTGACGTGTTGGTGATGTGGCATCTGGTAGGAAAACACGCACTCCATGATCTCTACCTACAGGCCACTACCAGGCCATACACTAACAAGCACCATTGGAAAGAATTATGGAATTAATGTTGGGTGGATTAAATAGCTTATCTAAGGTCATCAGCTGGTAAATGGAACAAGGAATATTTAAATATATTTATACACCTAGGAATAACTCACATCACAGTGAATCCCCTTAGTAGGGTATCTTAATACCTGAATATATATTCTTACAGACTTACTACTGAAAAACTGATAGAGCTGTTTTGGTTATTAGTAAAGTATACACTGATCTAAAAATATGTACATTAGTTAATTATACCCACCTGGTTACTGCAGGGGTTGGTACACCTCTTGTACGCAAGGAGGGTTTCCCTCGAATGACTGGGACATCTGTATTTTCCGAACCACCATTCAAATATGTTAACTCCTGGAGCTGTGCTTGCCTGATTTCATCATTATAGTCCTAGAGAAGAAAAAAGGTACCCTAACTGATCTCATGTTCAAAGTGTGAAAACACTTCAGGACAAAAACAACATTTTTTTTTTTTTAATATAAAGAGAGGAGAAAATAGTTGAATTCACAAAACAAGATTAGAGTCTGTGAAAATGAAAGTGTATCAATAAACTTCTGTAAATTGGTGGGGGGGGGGGCAAAATAATATTTCCCAAGCTAACATTTTCAATCATCATCCATAACCCCTTTCCCAAGGCATTCTTTCCAAATGAAGCACAGTAACAGCAAATTACCATGTAAACAAGAAGCTCTGCTCAGTAACCTCCGCTAGGGGCAGAGGTTAAAGCATTCTGTTGCTAACCAAAAGCCTGGTGGTTCAAACTCACCAGCTGCTCTGCAGGAGAAAGATGAGTCTGATTTCATAAAGACTTACAGCCTTGGAAAGTTCCACCCTGTCCCACAGCATTGCTGTAAGTTAGAATTGACTCAATGGCAGTGGGTTTGGCTTGGAACTAATATACAGAAATTGGTATTTACAACTCAATTCAACTAATAGTTGTTAAGTATCAATGCTGTGCCTGACGACAGAAAAACAGAGAAAAATAAGCCGTGGCGCATAGGCACGGAACTCAAGACCTAGCCAAAGAGAAAAGCACACATGAGACATGATAGCTTCCCTGAAACTAAAAGCTGTACCTACAGCTTCTGTCCATACATTTCCACTTGGGTGTTGCAAAAGTAGCTAGAATTCAGTATTTGCAAAATTGAACAGAAGCAGACTGTGATAAATTAAGATGCATATTGAAATCAACAGAGAAACCAGTAAGAAAATAACAAACAAAAAAGGAATTAATGCTATGACAAAATGTATCTATTCAACACAAAAAAGGCAATAAGAAGAAACAGTAACACAAAAGGATAAAACATGAGACACACACAAAAAAAACAACTTATAAAAT